TATTCTTTTGTTTTTCTTGATCTAAAAGTGTGTTCTTATATATTTCTTCTTTTCAAAATCCAGTAGTTTTTATTTTATGAAAGTTGATGCCATATTATTTGGTATAATAATATTATTACAGATATTTATAACTCTTAAGATCTTAGTTTTGTAAAGTACATTTTGTCTCATTTAGAATTTTTTTTGTCTAGAATTCTGTGTTGTCTTATCTACTCTCTCCTTTTTGTTTTCCTATAGTACCTTTGCCCATGCTTTGATATTTAATTTTTCTGAATCATTTTGTTTTAGATATGTATTTTAGAATATAGCATAGAATTGGATTTTGCTTTGTGGTTCAGTCTGAAAAAAAGTTTTTTTTTCAACTAAGCTAAGCTCATTTCCCTTTTTTTGACATGGCAGATATATATGCTTTCAGTTATGTCAAATGGTTTTAAATCTTTTACCATTTGGTCTGTTTTCTGTTCTCTTTTTTGTTACTTCTGCTCTTTAACAACGCAACGAATGCAACACACTGCTATAGAGTTGGATCCAACTCATAGCGACCTCTCCTTGGGTTTCCGAGGCGGTATCGCTACGGAAGTAGATTGCCCAACCTTCCTGCCAAGGAGTGGCTGGTGGGTTTGAACCTCCAGCCTTCTGGTTAGCTGTCAGGTGCCTTAGGCACTACGCCACCAGAGCTCCTTTCTGCTCTTTAGGAATGTTATTTTTATTTTTGTTCAAAATGGATTACAGCCAAGAAAATTATACAGAGCAGTTCTATTCTGTAACACAAGGGGCTGCCATGAGTCAGAATCGACTCGAAGGCACTGCGTGTGGGTTGGGTTTTTTTTTTTTTTTTTTTTTGCCTTTCTTCATGAATCTTTTCATATACTCTTGTACTCCCTTTTTTTCTTTGATTCCCTGTTATGATCAACAATAAAATTAGCTTACAATCTCTTTCTCCTTATCACCTTCTTCTCATCCATTTATATATAAGAATGTTACCACATTTCACTATACCTAGAGTATATTTTAGGGAGCTCTGGTAGCATAGTGGCTAAGACACTTGCCTGCTAACCAGAAGGCTGGCGGTTCAAACCCACCAGCCACTCCTCGGAAGGAAGGTTGGGCAATCCTACTTCTGTAGTGATACTGCCTCGGAAACCCAAGGAGGGGTCGCTATGAGTCGGGGCCAACTCGACGGCACATAACAACAACAACAGAGTATATTTTAAGACACATTTTACACACCTCTTAGGTAAGAAATGCTACTAATTAAACCGTTGACTGATAAGACTAATGATGATTTCCGAGATGTTAAAGTGAAAAAAAAATGTGTTTTAAAATCAATAAAATAATACCTTTCTTATTTACCAGTGTGCTCAAATATGCTGAAGTTATTTCTTGGTTTAACTCTAAATGGCATTGTTAATTTTCAGCTATATATGAATTGGCTTTTTCTATTTTATTCTTTCTCTGCCTCTTCTTCCTTTTTACAAAGTTTCTCTAAATCATTTCTTAGTTGGCTGAAGCTTCACTGCTAGTACAATCATCAGAAGACCTTAGGGCAACAATATTTCCTGAATTCTTGCCTATTCAAAACAATTGTTGTTGCTGCTGCATATATAAATCTTTGTTTTTTTCCCTTGAATATCTTAGAGGTGTTTTTCTGTTGATTAACAGTGTTGAAATGTTGTCATGCTAACCTGATTTTCTTTTCCTTCTAAGTAATTCCAAATTTTACAGTTGAGATTTTTGGTGGTGGTTTTTGAGGTTTTTTTTAAAGAATCTTAAACTTAGAAAAGTTACAAGAACAATACAAATTCTTTCTTTCCCTGAAGCATTTGAGAGTTAAGTTGTCAACATGAGAAGAGTCTTAATGGTGCAGTTGTTAGAGCGCTCAGCTACTAATCGAAAGATCAGCAGTTTAAACACCATGAGCTGTTCCATAGGAGAAAGATGTGGCAGTCAGCTTCCATAAAGAATTACAGCCTTTGGGAATCCTATAGAGCAGCTCTACTCTGTCCTATAGGGTCCCTATGAGTTTGAATCAACTTGCTAGCAACAGGTTTTGCCAGCATGAATATCCCGTCATTTTTCATTACTTCTGTATGTACTTCCTGTAAATTATCACAGTATAAGATTAGTTTGTAATGTTTTCCTTGTTACCTCAGAATCAGAAAATTAACATTGATAGATTATTACCATTTAATCCTCAGTCCTTCATTCTAGTTTACTGAAAAAAACAAAAACCAAACTCACTGCCATTGAGTCGATTCTGACTCATAGCAACCTCTTTTGGGTTTCTGAGGCAGTAAATCTTTATGGAAGTAGATTGCTCAATCTTTCTTCCACAGAGTGGCTGGTGGGTTTGCACCGCCAACCTTCTGGTTAGCAATTAAATGCCTTAGGCACTATGCCACCAGAGCTCCTTTCTTAGTTATCCCAATAATGTCCTTATGGGAAAAGGATCCATCCAGGATTATGCATTGCATTTACTTGTAATGTTATTTTAGTCTCATTTGATCTGGAATAGTTCTCAGTTTTACCTTGACTTTCATGACCTTTGACACTTGTGAAGAATACAGGAAAGAATTTTATAATGTCCCTCAAATTAGTTTAGTAGGATGCTTTGTCATGATTAAATTCAGGTTATTCATCTTTGGCAGAAATGTCACAGAAGGGATAATGTATTCTCATGGCATCCTGTCAGGTGAAGTCACTTCACTGTGTCCCAGTATTGATGGTGGTCACTTTGATTACTTGATTGAGGTGATAACTGCCAGACTTCTCCACCTTAAAATTACTCCTTTCCTTTTTGTAATTAGTAAGTATTTTGTGAGGACCTCTGGTAGCATAGTACCCAAGGCACTTGACTGCTAACCAGAAGGCTGGTGGTTCAACCGCCTTTGGAAACTCAAGGAGGGGTCGCTATGAGTCGGGTCCAACTCGATGGCACATAACAACAACAACAAAGTATTTTGTGGAGCAATATGTAAACATCCCATTCCTCATCAGACTTAATTTATTTGTTTATATGTTTAGATCAGTATGGACTCATGGATTTCTCTTTTATCGAATGCATTGTTGTTGTTGTTATGTGCCATTGAGTCGGACCCGACTCATAGCGACCCCTCCTTGGGTTTCCAAGGCAGTATCACTACGGAAGTAGATTGCCCAACCTTCCTTCCGAGGAGTGGCTGGTGAGTTTGAACCGCCAGCCTTCTGGTTAGCAGTCAAGTGCCTTAGCCACTATGCTACCAGAGCTCCCTCCCTCAAATGCATTATAATCTGTAAATTACCACAGTATAAGATTATTGTTATTATGGTGCTTAAATATTTCCAGATTTGGCCCATAGGAGCCCCTTGAAGGTGGCTCTTGCGTTTTTTAAACAGATTTTCATCATACTCAAAGTATTTTTACTTCTGGCTTAGCAAGATATTCCAGACTCATCTTGTACTTTCAAACTTAAAATTAGCTAGCTGTATCTTCAAGAATCTCTGGTTCTAAAACTCAGAATTATTTAAAGAAAAAAAAAAAAAAGACAGGTTTAGTTCTGATAGAAACTGGTGAAACTCCTGAGACTATGCCCCTCTAGTGACCTTTTCGTCTAGAATTGAACTCACTCCTGGGCTTAATTTCCGGCGAAAATATACAGGCCTACGAGGTGAACCGTTACCCCAGATAGGTACACTCCTTAGAACAATCAACCATGGGAGATCGGAAGGGTAGCATTTGTACAGGGAGATAGCTCAGAGGGCAGGACAGCATAGGAAAGAAGGACACAAGGAAAAAGTAACCACAGGGAGGAAGTGGGAAGAGAGCTGTTATACTGTGGGGATTGTAGTCAGTGTCACAAAACAAAATGTGTGTGAACTGTTGAATGGAAAATGAATATGCCCTGTAAACTTTCACCCAAATCACAATTTATCAAAAACAAAATAAAAACAGCAGCAGCAGCAGCAGCCCTGGTTCCTTTTAGAGGATATTAGTGTTTGGAAACCAAGATCTGGGCACTGGTTGTGCTCATTGCTTCTATCCCTTTCAGTGGAAAACCAAACACAACCCACTGCCCTTGAGTCAATTCCTACTTATAGTGACCTTGTAGGAGAGAGTAGAACTGCCCCATAGGGTTTCCAAGGCTACAAATGTTTATGAAAGCAGACTGCCACATCTTTCTCCTGCGAAGCGGCTGATGGATACAAACTGCTGACGTTTTGGTTAGCAGCTGAGTGCTTAATCACTGTGCCAGCAGGGTTCCTCGCTCTCAGTGGACAGAGCTAGAAAACAAAAACTATACACACACACACACAAACGCATACATCTATATTTATTTTCCATCTCTCTGTATACCTACCTACCTATCTCATCTATCTATCATCTGTCTATTCCTACCTACCTGTATATCTGCATATTGATCTTAAAAATGATGACTGACACCTCCAATTCTAGTCCAGCACTACAAGATTCATTTTAATCTCCAGCCTTTCCATTTTTATAATTACCTTTTCTGACCATGAGAAACTTGCTTTCTTTCATATATTTACCTGCTTGATTACTCCGATCTCCCAACCCTGCTTCACCTCTTTCTGGCCAGGAGTAATGTTCTACATTTTTTATTTGGATAGTATGTGGATATTTGCTTCATAATAATTTTTTAAAACATAAATATGTCTTTAAATCATTTGTTGTATATATATGTGTGTGTGTGTGTGTGTGTGTCACAGTTAACACACTGCTGAATTACAAGAGAAAAACTGATCATCTCAATAGAGTATACTCACTATAACCCAACGTGATAACCCCACAACTATAGGGTCAAGTTATCTGGCTGAAAGAACTACTAGGAAAAGAGAGCATCTGGAATCCAAGTTGTTAGTCCTAAATGAGAAAGGATCTGGATTTATTTGTGTGAGGGGCCCACTGTGCTCTGGAAAAAGCAGATCTTTGCAATTCTTAATCAGGACTTTTTGTAAGCATACTTATAAAACTTGTGTTTATGAAAATATAAAAATCTTACATTTTCATCAAAGCCTTCTCTTCTGGCTTGTTCAACCAAATCTCCACTTCTTTTCCTATTAAGAATATAAAATAAAAATCCTGAAGCATATGATAGTAAAAAGGGAGCCAAACTAAAACCAAACTCACTGCCATCAAGTCGATTCTGACTCATAGCAACATATATTGGGTTTCCAAGGCTGTAAATCTTTTATGGTAGCAGACTGCCTCATCTTCTATGGAGCAGCTGGTGGATTTGAACCACTGACCTTTTGGTTAGCAGCCAAATGCCTTACCACTATACCACCAGGGCTGTAAAAAGGGAAAGCCACCACAAAATACTAGCAGATCTATAGTGAGGACTGAATTGCATTTCTGTTATTTCTGATAATAAGTGCTAATTATTTGGAAAATGTGATCACTAGTAGATTCTCTGGTAGCATAGTGGCTAAAGCACTTGACTGCTAACCAGAAGGCTGGCGGTTCAAACCCACCAGCCACTCCTCGGAAGGAAGGTTGGGCA